GGGGGGGGGTGCATTTAAACATAGCAATTTGTTAGTCAAAAATTTATTTATTTATTTATTTATTGTTTTTGAGTAAACCAGTCACAGCCTTTTAAATATTCCGACCACAGTATGGGCATTTAGTCTGTATGTGTGATATTCTGATACATACATCTGAAATAGAAAGGGATTTTGAATAAACCCAGCTTTGTCGTAATATGAAGCCAAAGAGTAGCAATTACAGAGATTCACCAGCAGAGGGAGGTTTTGATCCAAGAGAAGAATCATCATGTCGCGCACGTCTTCCTGAGGCCTTTGATCCTTTGGTTTTCTCAAATGCTGCAATTAGGATCAATTACGAGGTTATTTTTACATTTATTATTTTATTCTACTTAATAGTTATCTTTTCGAGATGTTCTCATCGTATGTCACCTTCCACTACATTCACGCATGCTATATAGTACTTATTTGCATGCATATAATAGTTGCAAGGTCAGTTTTACTCTGTTGACATTTGCCTTATAAGAAACGCAGTGTCTGCTACAGAGACACTGAGGCTTCATGAACAAAAAACAAAAATAACAAAAATGAAAACAAGTGTAAATGTTTTTAAGGGACATGTTCAACCTAATATTCATTGTAAATCTTTACATTTAAATACTCTAGAGCTTTGACAGAGAAAGTTGGGAAGTTTGTGGTTTTAATCAAAGGGGAGCTTCCAAATTTTAAACACAGCTTGTAACATCATTTTCCATTTTGCACTGTGGCTCTTATTTATCGCAGTCCTAGAGCTTCGAGTGGCCTGTTGACAAGAGAAGATGTACAGTAGCCTGGGTGTTCCTCAGTATATTAAAGAGTCAAAGGTCATCTTGAATGTATTGAGTGTCAGTATGTGGGCAATAGAAAATTCATGGCCAATAGCCAAGTAGAAGATGCAGGGGCAGACAGATGCATTGGCTTCAGGGTGTAGGTGTGGCGGGAGAGCAGATTAAAACAAAGGATTAAAACACACTCGTACGGGGGGAAATAAGCACATATACACAGTTAGATCTTCAATTGTATTTTTCGTCTAGAACAACAGTAGAAAATAAACGTGAAAAGATGTGCTTGCTCCCATGGGGCTAGTGAGTATAAGGAGGCAAATGTTTTAAAAACTGATGCTCAGAGTGCTCGGCATACAAGGGAAAATTCACTTGTATGTAAGATGGACAGGACAGAGGCTGTGCGAAAAGGGGACTGATGGGAACAGACAAAAGAGAATGGAAACGATGGAAAGGGCAGTGGAGAGAAAAAAATAAAGAATGGGGAGATGCATTAGTGTGGGTGGAAAATAATAAGCAAAGTCGTATATAATGAATTTTGGCTCTTTTGGCGGGCTCTGTGAATAAACGAAGGCAGTCAAGGCTGACAATGGCAGACTTGGGGCATAGGAGTTGTTTGTGTGGACAGGTCACAAGGGTTGAGGGTCAAATCTCTCCTATTCATGACACCCCAAGTGTTGCCACGCTCACACACACAAAAAAAACACGCACGCTCATGTGCACACATACACGTATGTCAGGCTCACTTTCTCAGCGCTTGTGGCTGCAGCTGATCTGGGAGAGTTCAACCTCGGGTGCACTAACTTTTCACTGCAGGGTCAAGGGTGGAGGTGGCGTTTGTGTGTGAATCGGGGACAGACGGACAAGAAAAGCGAGAGAATGACAAAAAGAAAATCTTCATTGTTTTGACCAGATTGCAGCAGAGACCGCAAAAGAAAGCTGCAGCGACACCAGGACTGTGCATGCACGCATACAAAATATACGTAAATCACCTCAAATGTTAGCCATCAATACTCATAGCTTTAGCTCTATTTGTGCAGGTTGCAAGATACTCACAACTCTCATATCTATACAGAACGCACATGTCCTAACCTCTATTCTATCTTTAATCTTTTCTTTGCTGGGCCAGGAAATTCTTGTCAGCGTGAGCGAATGATTGGCTGTAAGTTTGGATGTGACAAAGTGTTAAGTGTTTCTGTTTTTGTGTGTTGGGACCAAAACTGGTGGGCAGCACAGAGTCGTGACATTCTCGCAAGCTTCCGGGACCTTTATTGCTGTGGCAATAATCAATAGCATTCCCACAGAGACGTCTTTTGGCTGGGCAGGTCAATACCTGTCACTCTGGGGCTCAGTCATGGCACAGACCCTCTTACTCAGCAGCTACGGCAGCCTCGCTCTGTCTGCTCCCCACCTCGCATGTCCTCCTGCATGTGTCTCAGGAGTGTCATGTTTGCACAGTTTAAGGAGCTGTGCGGTTCATTTGAAATCATATCCAACTGAGCATCCGCTTTTTTTTTCTTTGCACAGAGTCCAATAAAACAGCCACAACAACAGTTACCATTATTGTTTAATCTCCAGAATATTGTCATTTTAAACATAATTGGGTTTGGTTTAAAATTATATGGTGCTGTTGTTAAATTGTTGTTTTCAGTATTTTGTTTTCATCTTTAGCACAAAACACCTGTTTAAGTTATTTGTTAGGTTGGAGTCTGATTGATTGTGCAATCAAAACTCATCTTTCCAAAGTAAATTTTCATGAAGTGCAACCGATATTGCAGTTTTAAGTAAGCAAGTATGTTTGTTAGCCAGCACATGTTTGCTAACTGAGTTAAGTTTTACATGGAAGTAGCTCAGTTTTAAAGATGCATATCAGATGGATTTTTAGGAATCCTTACATTTACTGTTAGGAAATAATATCAGAAAATTATGTTCAGCATTTTAATTGCAATGTTGTTATTCTAGGCCTTGGATCCATGTTTTCCCCAAGAGTTTTACAGGTACTCGTTTTGTTGAAGTCTGACTGAAACGAGCATGTCTGGAATCATTTACAAACCTGCATTTCATTTTTAACTTCACAACACTCAGTCTTACAGATGTGATTTTCTGATTGTAGCTGGCAATATGAAGAGGGGATGCTCTGGAGGTGGCAACAGTGCAGATAAACTGACTACTGGGCCAAACAGCAGGTGTGTGTGTGTGTGTTTTCCCAGGTGCTGTTTGACTAAAGCACTTAAACAGAATTGTTTCAGTAGAAAAGGACTAGAATACCTGAAGTCCTGTCTTCATGCAACACCACCAAGTCAGCACAAACAACCTCAGGCTCAGAGCGAACGCTCAGAATGCTGGAGGTAATGTGATTAAAGAGGTCAGTGACACATGGTCACATCTGTTCTAATTAATATTTTTTTAAAAGCAATCAATTATTTTGATGTCATTTATTTTTTATTGGTCGTTTTAATATAATCGATTAAGATACCTGTCAAGTTGATTTATTTTACAGAAGATGATCGCAGTTACACTGACATTGAGCCAGTTTGGTTTAAAGTGAAATAGACATTTTAAACTGAATTGAGTCAACAATGAAACATCAAGGATTTTGATTTTATTCATTTTTTAAGACATTATACTTAAATGTAATTTCATCTGAAGATCTTGACAGTAACAGGAATAATGAGTAGACCCGGTGTTATTTTTTAAATAAAATAACATTTTTAATTGGAAAAAAAAATTGAATAAAGTGGTGTTTGGATTTTCAGTCGACATTCTCCTTTTTATTGCACAAATGTGAAGATTTCCAGGACGCAGGACAATGTCAAAAAAAATTGTCAAGTTTCTCTTAATGGATTTTTTTTATTTGAATATACTAAATAAACCTTCAATAGATTGGCAACCTGCCCAAGTGTGTTCAACCTTTTGCGCTAAGACAGCTTCCCCAACACAAAAGACAATGGATGGATGGATGGATGGATGGATGGATGGATGGATGGATGGATGGATGGATGGATGGATGGATGGATGGATGGATG